TGTCTTCCAGAGAGCAAGATCATCGGCATAAAGAGTCTTTTCTGATTTCAGCACGTTCGATACGTCATTAAAGAAGATCAGGAACAAAGTGCAACTCAGACAGGAACCTTGAGGTAGGCCTTCCTCGTGTACTTCTCTTGACGAGTGGGCATTGTTTACCTTGGTTTCAATGTTTCGATCCGACAGGAAGAACTTGATCCATTTGTAAAGTTTGCCATGTATCCTGATGTCCATCAATTTCATGAGTAGGCCTTTTCTCCACACTCTGTCATACGCCTGTTGGAGATCTAGAAAGATGGCGACAGTGTGTTTACTCTCCTGAAATCCATCCTGGATGTTTTGACTCAGTTTAAAAAGTTGATTTTCTGTGTTGCTGCCTTTTCTGAAGCCTGCTTTTTAAGCTGTTAGTATTTTCCAGGTACCAGTAGAGGCGGTTGTTTATCATTCTTTCCGCAAGCTTACCGATACATGATGAGCTCATAATATAATGCAAACATTTCAGGCACTATTTGTTACTTCTCTTTACACACTACTTGCTCAGTGCCTGTATTTATCTACACAAAACCTCATGTTTGCTATAACGAACCCTCGGATTCAACGAGGTTTTAGGTCAGGCCCGGCGACCTCGTTGAATCCGAGTTCCACTGTATTGATCTATGTTGAATAGAAGTCGAGATATTTGTGATTGAAGGAGGTCAGGATCGCCTGGGTTCAGAGGTAAAATTATCGAAAAAATGGCCACCAACATTTGGTAATTTCCATAGCCTAAGAGTCCTTGGAAACTGAAAATTTACATTTTTTGTGCCTTTCATCAATGATTTTCCGTTAATTCTACACAGAAATGTGTTTATAAATGGACATAAAAGGGGTTGAGCCAAAAAAAGAAAATTACAAAAAAATTGCCCCTCGGCCAAAAAGATGCCGATTTCTCTGCTTTCATTATTTTGACTATTGATGAGCGCCTGATTTCACCAAGACACCTCACATATTTATGTTTCATTAATAAACTTAAAACTACATTTGATCATAAAAATAATATGTATGTGTCACAACGCAGTGGAATCAGGAGCTCGTCAATTTTTTCTCTTATGGAGTTATTGGTATCATCTTAACAAGGAAGTTCATTAGCCTTGCTTTCCATGAAAAAAATATCCATTTATCTTAATAGAAGTAGTTGAGATATTTGCGAATGAAGGAGGTGGGGTCGCCTGGTTTCAGTAGTGAAATTAGCGAGAAAATGGCCGCCAAAGTTTGGTTACTTCCATAGCTGAAGAGTCCTTGAAAACTAAATTTAAATTTGTTGTGCCTTTAATTAACGATTTTCCATCAAACCACCTATAACAGTGTTTTTGAATGGACGTACAAGATGTTGAGCCAAAAAACAAAAATGTGAAAAAGATTTCCAAACTGGCTGAAAAATGATTTCTCGGATTTCATTATTTTGACGAGTGCCTGATTTCACCAGGATGTATAATATATATACATATATATATA